AACTGCTTGTCCACATCATCAGCAAACTTGCTGAGGGGGCACTCTGTGCCTTCCTCCAGGTCATTGATGACTACATTGAACAAGACTGGGCCCAGGACTGACCCCTGGGGGACACCACCAGCTACAGGCCTCCAACTAGACTCTGCACCTCTGACCACAGCCCTCTGAGCTTTACCATCCAGCCAGTTCTCAATCCACCTCACCGTCCACTCATCTAGCCCACACTTTCTGAGTTTACCTACAAGGATGTGATGGGAGACAGTGTCCAAAGCCTTGCTGAAGTCCAGGCACACAACCTCCACTGCTCTGCCCTCATCTACCCAGCCAGTCATTCCATCAGAGAAGGCTATCAGATTGGTCAAGCATGACTTCCCCTAGGTGAATCCATGCTGACTACTCCTGATCACCTTCTTGTCCTCCACATGCTGAGTGAGGACCTCCAGGACGAGCTATTCCATCCCCTTTCCAGGGATGGAGGGGAGGCTGACAGGCCTGTGGTTTCCTGGCTCCTCCTTCTTGCCCTTTTGGAAGACTGGCGAGACACTGGCTTTCTTCCAGTCCTCAGGCACCTCTCCTGGTCTCCAGGACCTTTCAAGGATGATGGAGAGTGGCCTATCAATAACATCCGCCAGCTCCCTCAGCACTCGTGGGTGCATCCCATCGGGGCCCATGGATTTGTGGATGTCAGGTTTGGACAAAAGATCTCTAACCCGCTGCTCCTCAACCAAGGGAGAGTCTTCCTTTCTCCAGACTTCCTCTCTTGTCCCCAGGGTCTGGAATTCCTGGGGGCTGGCCTTAGCAGTGAAGACTGAAGCAAAGGCGGCATTCAGCAACTCTGCCTTCTCTGCATCCTTTGTCACCAGGGCACCTGCCCTATTCAGCAGCGGGCCCACATTTTCCCTAGTCTTCCTTTTGCTATTGATGTCTTTGAAGAAGCCCTTCTTCTTGTCCTTGACATCCCTTGCCAGATTTAACTCCAAATGGGCCTTGGCCTTCCTAGTCCCATCCATGCGTACTCGGACAATGTCCCAGTATTCCTCCCAAGTGGCCTGACCCTGCTTCCACCTTCCGTACACTTCCTTCTTCTGCTGGAGTTTTGCCAGGAGCTCCTTGTTCATCCATGCAGGTCTCCTGCCCGTTTTTCTCGACTTCTGGCTCATTGAGATGCACCGTTCTTGAGCCTGGAGGAGGTGGTCCTTGAATATTAAGCAGCTCTCTACATCCTTTTGTAAACACCATTCAGAGGAATGAGAAAACTTTACCCAGTCGCCATTTACTGGTACAATTTTAATTCTTGGAAGTCATGCTCAGAGAAGGGCACGCAGCTAGGGATGAAGTTTACAGTGATGAGGTTTATTTCTGATTCATCAGCTACTCCAAGGATGTTAGTGTGTAACTGTTATTTAATATGATCGCTAATGGAATAGAAAACAAAAGAGGTATTCATCAGCCAAGAAGAATTTTTAAAAGCTTTCACTATGCAGAAGCTTGGAGAAAGACAGGCTTAATAGGCAGCCTGAGTCTTGTCCAGTTATTGACGTCATCTAGGAGAGGAAGAATTGACAGATCTGGTGAGAACAGATTTCCCATCCGGAGTACTTATTTCCTAGGACCAGATTAAAAGGACCAATCTAAAGACCTAGACAGACACTGAGAGGACTGTTCAGAAATGGTTCAGCTTCTAACTCATATGGGAACTAGCTTTAGACACACCAAGTTGATACCCAATAAGTGCCTCTGTTCACTTTTAGAATACTATGGTTCCTTTCAAAAAACAACAAGCGTTGGCTAACATCTTGAAGGTCCCATATCTGCCGCTACTATTTCAAAATTTTTCTTAGGATATGCTAACAGAACCTATGATTTTGTAAGCTTGTGAGGTAAGATGTTGCTTTCTGCTTAGTAGTATTTGGAAAAACTAGTATTTTGAGGAAGAGCTCTTAACTGCTTCATAGGGCTTAGCCAATGCCAGTAAAAATAAGCACAGATCTTAGGATGCCTCCACATTTCTGTTAATTTGGGTCGGAAGTGGGCTTTTGAAGTGTATCTCTTAATTGTCTCCACTTCCTGCACTTTGGATTACACTGCTGAGCAAACTAGATTTCTTCAGGATGAAACTATCCACAAGGTGCATTTCAGGAACACACCTAATGTTTTCCAGCCAGCAATGGGCACTCAGTCCATGGGACCAATCTAAAGGTGGTCTAAAAGAAAATCCCTAAAATGCACCCAGTCCAGACCTGTGATCTTTAGCAGAAATTATTTCTCTCTACTGATTTTCTTTTGTGCTGCACTACTTAACTAATGTAGACAGAAACCTAATGACGAGTGCTGTACTTGAAATTTTATGTGAATACTCACATTTTATGTTACTGGCAACTGACAGCCCAGTACTAAGGTTGTATTTCGTAACAGTGCTTACTAGACCTACTGCTTCATCTCTTACAGTTTAGTCTGCAGAAAACCATTCAACTGTCTGTGTAACGTACAATACTTTAGCAGTGTAGAAAATAACATGTAATGTTAAATCAATATTCTATCCCAATAAAAACTTCTTCCAAGTAAAATGATTGAAATAAACAGTAATATTCCCCAACAGAACATTTCCCTTTGTTATTAACAAAAGTTTAACAGCCTATGAACCATTTATGTTGATAGCACTTTAAAGCTATGGGTATGATCACTGTTTTTGCAAAATTGAACCATTTTATTACCTGTGCAAATGTTTTGATCTTACCAAAACTTCTTTACCAATGTGTCTAGACTGACAAAAGTATGGCTGCTAGAAAATTTCCAAAATTACTCACTGTCTTCTGTTGACAGAGACAACTTTGTGAGGGTAGAGCCATGAGCTATGAAAAACAGCTCTGTTCTGTGGAGATCATGTTGATCTCTACTGAAGAAAGGAACAGCTTTGAAGTGTGACAGCTTACAGCTTGTAATCAGCAAAAAAATAAATTTGTTTGGGAAATCAAAAATGCCTAGCTAGTTCACTAACTAAACAACAAACTATTTTAAAGAACAATAACCTTAATGCCTTGAAAGTGTTGTGCCAGGTGAAAAGCATTAGTATTATTATATGTTTATAGAAAGATACAACAGTTACCAAAGAGTACATTTTTTTGCATTTTCATTAAAAAAACATTAACAATACTAGCAATCTTTTCAGTCTATTGTCCTAGATACACAAACAGAGATAAAACAGGTCAGCGTATCTGAGGTACCTTTGGAAATGGAAAAGAAATGAAAGAAGAATGTAAAAATATATACTAATTTTCCAGCTGTAAAGAGTAAATACTAGATTAAATGCTGAATGAATGATGTAATTTACTTACTAATAGAAAACTTTAATCTCACTTACATTGTTATTTATACTACTTCAAAAAGAATTCAAGTATACATTTGTTTGAATAAGGACATTATTTTTTCAATAAGCAAATGGTATTACTTAAATGATCTGTGGGCTAAGTAAACAAATAAAATATAATTATATTGTATCCTTTATTTTAGTTTTCATTCCCTTTCCCATAGAAAATCTAGTAGTAATTATTCACATTATGGCCAAACTATGTGCCTCAGGTAGTGGGTAAATATGTATACACATGTAAGTACATGTGTTTGTATACATATTTTATATATATATATATATATATGCACACACGCATATACAGTCCCCATGAAATGTATGATGGTCTATGTAATGTTTATATGAATAAATTAGATATGTCTGAAGACTTTTAAACAAATATTACAGTAAAATGTTTTAGTAGCTCCCATCAGCATTCTTGGCACAGCATCAACTTCCATCCTAACTAGCCATAATGATTATTGCATCATTATAGTGTTATGCCATGTACAGTAAATTTGCACTCAGTATGGCACTTTAAATCATAAAAATGTTTAAATTTACCATATACTGAACAATTTAAATATAAACCTTCAAGGCAGCAAGTATTTCTGTGTCACATTTCATATTTCATTGGTGAGTATGTACCTATGGACTTCAAGGTGACATAAATGTTGATTGCTTCTTTTTAAACGCATTGCCTGCTCTGCATACTATATTCTTATGGTGAATATATTTCAATAAGAGAATTTATTAAGCCTTTGAAACACTAGTTATCATGTTTGAGCAGCTGTTTGAAAGGGATATAAAGCATTGTGTACATAGCTTTTTAAATAACTATTATTATGAAAAAATGCCACAGTATTTTACTTTATCCAGTACCAAAATCTCAGTAATCCCAGGGCCTGGTTCTGTAGTCTCCCCAGAGTGAATTAATCTTACCCAAACCAGTAATATAATTGAACGGGACACTAAATGGAAATGAAAAGGACACAATAAAGTTCTTAGACATTTAGGTGCACAATGTATGCTTATTTTGGCCTAAGCATTATCAGTATCTAAAGCACTGATTTCTAAAATATTTTGAATATATGAAAATCAAATTCAGTACTGTATCTGTGCATACTTTAGTAACTTTCACAGAGAATTTATGATTTTGTAAGTTCTCAGCATTCTCAGCTGGCATTGCAATACAGTCTATCTTGCTTAAGTTTTTTTTTGTTTGGTAGATTACGGTCTTTAGTCTGGTTTTCAGTCGAAATGAGGCTTTTGGCATCAGGCTTTCTATGCCCTGATGCATCATCAGCAGTTTCTGTAATACTTTGAAACACATCAGAACGTTCAAGCAAATCTTGCCAACTTCTTACAAGTTTCACAACATAACATCAGCAAGTAGGAGACAGAAGGAGATATCAGTATGTAAACCTTCATTATACGTTTTGTTTGACAATGACTAAATTATCATCATCATGAACTCTGGGATGTATGTGTTACACAGGAGAGAGGAAGGATATCATAAGAATATACTGAGAATTAGTATATATACAGTATTTTGGAAGCCCATAGGAAATGAGGTTTCTACAAGCTCACAGCTGGTAGAATAATTTGTTTGATTTCCAGAAAGCACTGAGGTGAATGCATGACTTTATCCTACCTCTGTGTTTCCAATACATGGTGATAAACATGTGTAATTAAATCCATGAGATTTATCCATACATAGTGCTCCTGGGGCACAGCTTATATTGTAGAGTAGACAGGCGTCAATATCCACTTCACATCTTTCACCTTCAAAACCTGCCCCATAAAGAGAATGTTTAATCACAGTTCATTCATGTATATTGACATTGTGTCTACTCATGATGTTAGCAGTTAACACCAGTCTACTAGAGTAATTTGGCAATTTTATTTCCTAAACAAAGCAAAAAATAAGATTGTTCATAAAAATATTTATTGCATACACTGAGTTATATTGCTATTTTTACAGAACGGGATTCAACTTAACTATTTCGACTACATTTCTTTGCACTGTTCAGTAAATACAATAAATTTCCAGTGACTCACCTACAGGGCAGGTACAGTTATAGTGGCCTTCATAGTTAACACATGTTCCTCCATTTTCACATGAGTTGGAACCACAGTTACCGACCTGCACCTCGCAAAATTCTCCTGGGGAATAAAAAGTCCTAGAAAGGTTAACAATGAAAATCATGTTCTTAAAAAGCTGAACTGAATCACATTAATAACGTTGGTGAAATAGCTAATGTGTTAAACTATCTTTCTGGAAAATTAGTTGGAACTAAAAAACCTCGTGTGCAAGGCTCCAGACAATTTTAGCTCCATTTGTATGATGAGCATGTCTCAGGGCTTTAGAGAAAAGGTCAGTACAAACTCTGCCATGTAGACAGATCCCTATCAGCACTAAAGAACAATTTTAGATTGGGGTCCAAATGGGGAGGAATTTCACTGGAAGTAATTATCTGAAATGGACATAATAGCTTTGCCTTTTCTTCTACTGTTTTGGCTGCTGCACAAGTCAATGCTGATCTCTACTCATGATTGATTTGATTCTATTATGTAAATATATATCTATATCTCTTCTCTAGCTCCATTTTGGCTAGAAAAAAAATCTACATTTGTCTAGCATAATTCTTGGTGTCATTCCACTAAACAATTACTTGCTTATTTTTTTTAATTAGATAATATATTTTGTAAAATGTTTTGTGAAAAGTTACTGGCATTCTATCTGAAATTCTTCATACAGCAAAAACTTTCATTTTTACTTCAAATTGTGATTTTTTTTTTTTATTTTTAATCAGCTCTCCTAATGTTTTAAAGCCAAAGACTTCAAAGGAACATGAACTAATGGTATGAACTTTATTAACAATAAAAAGAAGAAATTTGTATCCTTTGATAAGTTGGGATGGAGTGTCAAACTAAGGGTTAAAGTTTACTTTCTATGGACTTCTATAAGTGTAAGCAGGAATATACTTATTAAAGCCTCAATGCTGTGATTTGAGGGCCAAAATTCTCTGTCTTCGGCCAACAGGTGCTGAAGTACATACATAATGTCAAAGAGAGGTTGATCAGCATGCTACACAAACCTTTAACGTTTATTTTGTTCCTTTGCTCCTTAATCAAAATAGCCCAGTATTAATGTAGACTAATTTTCCAACCACCAAGAGTACATTTTACCATACGTTATAAAGCTCACTGACTTAAAAATATTAAAATAAAAATACAAAACGTGTAATTGCTGTAAAATTAAAAAAAATGCAGGTAATAGGAAATTGGATACATTTCCTGTAATGTAATAGGAAAATGGATAACATTACATGGGAATCTATGGACAACTGATTCTTACATTTACAGGACTGTGATTTGCTCACATTGTCTTGACTTTAATGGTAACTAAACGTATCCCTATCTTTAAGGAGATACCATCATGATTAATATTTTTATAAACGTATGCTCTGAGGCAGGACCGGAGTTATAATATGTGGCTTTGTGTGATATGGGTTGCCAAAAAAAAACCCCAAACAATACATAGATATTTTCATTAGGAAATCAATTGAATGTATCTAGGAAGTTATGCTATCTTCTAGCAAGTGAGATTTTTTTTTTCATTTTTTTCTTACGGGCTGGAAGGTAAAATTGAAGAAAAAAACTTGGAAAAAACTTCAACTCCACTTTAACACAGTTTTGAATACGCTTGTCAAATGTATTCATAAAGGTGGAATTGAGAACATTGTCTTGTCTAAGATACCCTTATGAATAAATATTAGTACAATCAGATGGGTTTAAGGAATTATTCTGATGTAAATCTGGAGCTGTTAGAGTGGCTCACTCCTTTTAACAAACTTTACAACTTTTCACCGCCACAATGAGGTCAAGTAAAACTAGTAACTCCAAACTGTTATAAAATTTATTAAAATCTGACTGCTGCTGAGAAATGCATAATTTATGGTATTAAGATCTGATTAAGTGTTAAATAGATGTCAGGAGAGATCTCCACAGTAATCCACTTAGCTTTTAATGCCTAATTATCACTTCATAGAGAGTGAGGGCTGAATAATTGAGAACTGCAATGCTTAAAGAACTCAAACACAATTTTTGTGTGCAATTAAGCATGTTATTCTTCTATCAGGAATAAGTTCAGTTTTTTAAGAAATTACGCAACATAAGAGGGAAGGAAAATATTTTGGTTAAAGAGTTTACTGCTCCACTCCTGCTATTTTTCAACCTCTTGCTGAAAGGAGGTCCAGTTAGAGCAGGTTGCTCAGGGTCTTATTCAGTCAAGTTTTGAATATCTACAAGGATGGAGACTGTACAGCCTCTCTGGGCAATCTGTTGCAGCGTTTGACTCTCTTTGTGATAAAAGTTTCTCCTTATATGCAATCAGAATTTATCATGTATCGCTCTAAGTCTATTACTTCTTGTCCTTTCACTGTGCACCTCTGAGAAGACCCTGGCTCCATCTTCTATATTCCCCTTAGCTGCCTGTGGACAGCAACAGGATTTCCCTTTAGCTTCCTCCTCATGCAGAACAATCCCAGGGCTTTCACCCTGTCCTTGTGTGCCATATTCTCCATGTCTCCTGACGATTTTGGTGGCCTTCCCTGTGTTCACATCAGTCTACCAATGTCTTTCTTCCACTAGGGAGACCGATACTCAACACAATACCTCAGATATCTTTCACAAGTGCCAAATGGAGGAAGAATAAATAGGGGGAAGAATCACTTTCCTACACCTGCTGTCTATACTCTTGGCAAGGCAGCCCAGGATGTGATTGCCACCTTTGCCACAAGGTCACATGGGTGGATCACATTTAACTTGTTCACCAAGACTCCGAGGTCCCTTTTGGTTAAGCTGCTTTCTAGGTAATCAGCCCCCCGCCTGAAGTGCTCCATGGGGTTATTCTATACTGATTGCAGCACTCTGCATTTGCCTTTGTTCTATTTCATGAGTTCCCTGCCAGCCCATTTCTCAGCCTGTTCAGGTTCCTCTGGAGAGCAGCCCTGTCCTCCAGCGTATCAGCTGCTCTTCCCAAGTTGGTATCATCCATACACTTGCTGGGAACACACTTCATTCCATCATCCAGGTTATTAATAAAGGCACTAAACAATAATGGATCAAGTACCAATTTCAGAAGGATAGCAATTGTAACCAACCGCTAGCTACTTTGTACTGCTGATAACCACCTTTTGAGACTGACAATCCAGCCACTTTTCCATCTGCCTTTCCATACACTTGCTGAGTCCAAATCTCATCAATTTAGGTAAAAGGATACTACGCAAGACAGTGCCAAAAGCCCTGCTAATGTCAAGGCATCCGCTGCCTTCCTATTAATCTACAGAGCTGGTTATCTCATCATGGAAAGCAATCAGGTTAGTCAGGCACAGTTTCCTCTCGGTAAATCTGTACTGGCTGTATCCAGTCACCTCTTGTCCTTTATGTACTTGGATATGCCTTCAAGGAGGACTTGGCTCATAACCTTGCCAGGAACTGAGGTGAGGCTGATGGCCTACATGTCACCTGAATCTTCCTTCCTGCCCTTCCTGAAGATGGCGTTGACATTTGCCTTTCTTCAGTCAACAGGGACCTCATCAGAGTGCCATGACTTTTCAAAGAAGATACAATGCCTGGCATTGGCCAGCTCCCTCAGTACCCTTGGATGCCTCTCTTCTGGTACTGTGGACTTTTATATGTCCAATGTGCTTATGTGTTCCCTAACACTATCTTCTTTGACTGTGGATAATGCTACATTCCCACAGACTCTGCTATAGGCTCAGGGAACTGAGAGGCATCTGAGGGCAGATCTTACCAATGAAAATAAGTATAAAATGCGTTTCACTTGTCACTAGTTCTTCTGCCCCACTGAGCAGAGGGCCCTCACTTTCGCTGGCCTTCCTTTTGCTTCCCATGTACTTACAGAAGACCACCTTCTTGTCCCTCCACATCCCTTGCTACTTTCAGCTCCAGCTGGGCGTTAGCTTTCTTAACGCCATCCACGCACACTCAGACCATGTCTCTGTATTCGTCTCAAGTAGCTCATCCCCACTTCCTCTTTCTGTGTACTTTCTGTGTGCACTTTTGTACTGTGTACAAATACTTTTGCATTTTAGCTCAGTCAGCAGTTTCCTATTCATCCATGCTGATCTTTTGACACACCTGCTTGACTCTGAACATTGGAATGGACTGCTCTTGTGCTTTTAGGAGGTTGTTCCTGAAGATCAACCCACATGCCCTGACCCCCTTTGCCCTACCAGGCAGTATCCCAAGATCCTGCGAAGGATCCACAGTCTCATGGTCACTTCTTCCAAGGCTGTGATAAACCTTCACAGCACTGACTAATTCTTCCTTGTCTGTGAGCAACAGGTCCAGCTGAGCATATCCATCACCTATGCCAAGAAATCTCCTGGGTTGCTCGTGCTCAGCCAGTTGCCATTCCAGCAGATATTGAGGTTATCTATCTGAAGTCCCCATTGAGTACTAGGGCCTGTAATCAGGAGGTTTCTTCCAGCTGCCTAAAGAAAGTTTCCTGTACTTCCTTTGGTGGAGCAGGTGGTCTGTGGCAGACACCCACCACAGTGTCACCCATTTGACATTTAATTAGTTCACTAACAGTTTGAGGGCAATGTTCTGTGTATTGCAGCCATTCATTTGCATAGAGCGCAACTCCTCCTCTTCACCTTCTCATTCTGTCTTTTCTGAAAAGCTTGGATTCATTCATTGCAGTCATGGGAACTATCCCACTGTATCTCTGTAATCTTACTGAGGTCACAGCTCTGCAACTGTGCATGAATTTCTAATTCCTTCTGTTTGTTTCCCATGTGGACTGCATTTGTGTATAGGCACTTGAGATGGACCCCCAGCTGTGCTCCTTTCACGACTGTGTTGTCCCCCGGCTGATTCCTTACTATTCTGCATCCTTTCACTTGAATATAGCTGAAAGCCTTCCCAGGCCTTCTCTGGATGACCAAAACTCCCCAGCATAAATAATTTCTAATTTAATGTCTGTACAAATCCTTAGAAGCAGGTGTAAGCTTTGTTAACTTGCTTTTGACAAATTAATTAAGACTAGAATTACTCTAATTAAGGTAAGGAAGTTCTACCATAAAGATCAGGGATAAAGATGACCTTTTTTGTTGAGGAAAACACAAAGCATA